GCGTGATATTTGTACTCGTCTATAGCGTTATTTGTACTCTACGGAATGTAGTTGGATAATAATTTGGTTTTATAAACTGCATTGATAATGTAATTCGGCGAGCGTAAAGAGGGGGAGAACACTCCAAACGTTAGCTCAACGAACTCTCTACAGTGGCCAATATACGTTATCAACTGAGTTTCTGGCAAAACCAATTATAATTAAATAATTGAAAACCAATTATAATTAAATTGATCTTATCAGTTAAGTTGCTTCATATTCCGGTGGAGGGTTGAAAATGATAGCTTTTTAATTAATTGATCTTGACGGCGTAATGAAGCGTAACATGGCTGTTAATTTTTATTTTTTTCAGCAAGTGATGGCTAGGAATTCCTGAAAACCTAAAATCCTGTTAAGGTTCTGACGAATTGATCAGCATAAATAGTATAATTTTTTAGCCGTTTTGATTTGGAAACAAGGCTAACATAAAAAAAAGTTATAGCCTTACAGGAAACCTCCAGAGGACATAAACGTACTTGATGTTTAAAATCCCCGTGCTGAATAACAGAGAGAGACAACGAGAGAGAGCATTTAACCAATTGTATTGTTCGAGCTGAATTGTCGGATGAATATTACTACTAAACCACTCACTGACCTTCCCAGTTTTATTATTGTTTGTAACAGAACTATAAGAAGCTTAAAATTACACTACAACGTTGCCTCTGGGGAAAATTTCATATCGATCAGTCTAGAATAAATTGAGTACGATTTTAAAGAGCTCCGAAGGAAATGTTTTCACTAACACAAACAGAGTTCGAAAACAGGGATGGATATTATACGCCAGCTCCATAAACGGGTTTGGAAATGGAAGTTTTTGTCAGAAAAGGGCGGGCAGAAATTTGAAGAACTGGGTGGAACATTCTACTTAACAATTCCGCGGGTGAGCGAGAATATGAGCGCATGATTGCTATTCATTTGTTTATTAAGCTTTCTCAGTATTAGCCAACTCGTTATTTGCATTGCCTTCCGTTCATATAAATGGAACGTTCGCATCTTCCCTGAACTAATCTTCCTCTACTAACGATGATTCATCGTATAGGAGAAACCGAGCCACTTTGTAACAAGAGTTTACTATTGGAATATCACAAACAAAAAGGGATTTCTTTATGGAAGAGAAAAACCACAGGTACGTAAAAACAACAACAACAGGACAAACGTTATCTAATAAAGTGCGAATACGTGTACGCTTAAGCTAGGACTGCTAAGTGACCAAACAAAGGAGAGAAATACTGAGAGAAAAAGTTTTAAAACGATAAGCATGACCTCTTGATGTAAGTGGAAACAGACAAAATTCTGGTGTGAGCCTTCCAATAGTTTTATCACAACTCTGCTATTCATAAAGATTCATTGTAAATTTTGGAATTCAAAAGTTGAAAAAGTACAAATAGGCCGGCCATTCAGAATACAAGCATTGTATCGCACTTGATATCTAATAAATGGAAAAAAAAAACCCTGTCAAGCTTTCTAGCTTAGGGGTATGAAGAGTGATATGCGAAACCTTGCGTATCTGTCTGTCTCTTTTCACGGCCCTAAATGGAACGCTATTTAATCTGCATTATCGAACTTACAAAGATTTCTATCCAATAATTTTTCAGCTCAGCGAAAGGGGTCCTTACGTCTACAGTATGACAACGAAAGAAATTGACGTGAAGTTTGGAAAAGGAACAATTACAAGCAAGTCGTTTCAGCAAGCCAAATTTAATAAAACACTTACTGAGAAAGAATGTCCAACATGCCGCGAAAGCGATAAGGTTTGTTGTCTACAATGTTTGTGGTTATTACAATCACATTATGAAGGAACTTCATTTAAGGTACTGTAATACGTGGCTGGAAATCGTAAGTGATTGTCAAGGCAAAGTGTTGACCTAAAGAGACGGTGCAGGTGACTATTTGTTGGAAAACTAAAAAGAATGAAAAGAAATTAAAAAGCCTGCAAGAGGTTTTTCACCTGCGTATGGCCGTAATAATTGTCAAGATAGGTATGTTGTGTATGTAAGCATCTCTAAGTTTTGGTTTTCGATATGATTATCAGTTTTTACAGGCTGCCTTAGTGTGTCATAATAGCAGAAATATAACTTGTCTATCCGCTGTACATTACGTTTACGTTGATCTTCGTGTTTTCATATATGATCGCTTTTAACCATGATGAGTTTCCTGTATATCTGATTCTCCTCCCAGCACTCTTAGTTAGGTGCAGGTATTCTCATCTTGAGGATAGAAGTAAATCACTAACAAAGTTGGTAGCGATCATCAGTAACTTGAGTAACCTCTATTGTAGATGACTTTATTATTGTTAATTATAGTTGTAAATCTTGTCTCTTTTTCTTTCGTTCTTGTTCAGCTAACGATCTTAAATGTTGGTTACCTTGGTGTAATGAAAAGAGTTGGATCAGCTTGGGAATTTAGCTTTGCTTTTATTCCGATGGTAATGAACATTCTGTTTCAAAGACTCAGAGCAACAACGCATCTAAACAAGACCTCTCTTCTGCTTGAAATGGGGAAAACGCGGAATCAGCTCCCTCTGAAATCTCCATATTATCCGGCGTTTGGTTCTTGGCTCAGTACGGTTCCTAAATTCGCCCCCTTGCGAAAAAATTATACGATTACGGAAATGAACGGTTTATACGGCGCATTGATGGATCCTTCCAAATTTGGACCATTTGATAATCTAACGCTTCTGAAAAGATGCCTAAGTGGAAAAGTGACCGAAGACTGCGGTCTTGCTTTGAACCTCTTTGCCTTGCAAAAAGGCCTGAACCTTGCGGCGGTTTGGTCCGTAAGAAACATACTGTGCCCAAACAAGGGTGCATGTTTCCCTGTACTATGCTTTTCTTGCTCAAGTCCATCAATTAAGTTTAGAGCTGTGGGAGAATTCATAAAAGAGTTGTCCAAGTATGTGCTTTGGTATCTCGATGACAATAACTGCGGGCTCACAACAACTAGAAGCCAGGATGAATTATCTCATGGCTACGTGATGAAACTACCTTTACCAGGCCATCCATCCGGGGTAGATGTACCAGGCCCAATAAACTCGGATATTAGCGAGAAGGAAGCGAAATTAGCGGGAAAAAACTCCACATTGTACACGTGTGAATCAGACGAACGATTCAGTTATGCAGGTAAACTTGTGACAATTCCTACTAAACGTATCAGTGTCTTGATGTTTAAATGAAACGTATCAGTGTCTTGATTTTCTTAGCCAAGCTAGCTTAATACCTTTAAACGCAAAGGAACCACCAAATACTAGCTGCAGACATGGGAAAACACTTTCTTGATTTTAAACAGCTCCTGTTAAGCTACTTGGAGCACATTTTCAGAACTGATTGTAGTGTTGAAAAAGAAAGAAAAAATATTAGATGACATTAGCTTTGCTTCTGCTCTCTGGTTGATCATGGGTACCGACCAATCACTGAACGCGTGCATCCTATTTCGTTCACGTTTTCAGCAATAAATGGTAAAAGTCAAGTTAACAAGGACTTCTACCCAAATGCATCTTCTGATCAGCTGAAGGTCCGAGGCTATGGATATCAATATCCGGGGGCCAAACACTTGAAAGCTTGCTCCGCGAACAACACTCCATCGGCTAAGAAATACGAATATTTCGTATCATCATTTCGCATGGCTGTTCCCATCACTTACGACAGAGATGTCACAATAGCTGGCATTCCGATGAACAGATACGTTATAAGTGAGTCTGCAGTTGAGGTGAATAATATGACCGTGTTTACCAAAGGTATTTTTGATGTGAGCCGGTTTTTGAAAGGTCCCATCTACGCTAGCCTCCCAGGATTCCTTTACGGGGAAGAGCCCTTGTTCGAGGACTTAGGATTTCCTGCGCCCGACGTACAAAAATACGGATCTTATGTGAGTATAAATATCTACACCTCACGCGATGAAGCTAAACATACACTGTGTAGCCGAAGCTCTTAACTCTTTGAAAGAAAAATAACGTTCCTTGAAGAGGTCCTTTCATTTCAGAACTTCTCAATCAATTCTTAAACCACGCCTACCCACCCCTCTTGATGGAGGCTGTAAGGTGAGAAACAGAAACGTCAGCATTTGCTGTGAGAGGGAGGAGATGACAACTCTGATACAACCAGTCAAGTTAGAGAAATCTTACAAGGTCCTTTTTTTCCTTTTACAGTTTAGTATCGAGCCAATATCCGGAATTGCAATGCAGCTTAAGCTTCGCTTTCAGTTGAACGGAAAAATCATCCCTAATTCATCACTGTCACCATATTACCCAGAAACTAAAAATGTGAGCTTTACAGACAAACTGATACCAATATTGTGGACGGAAACAGAAGCAAGCATTGATGCAGTGACTGCGAAGGAGTTCCGTTCAAAGGTAAGTATACTGCACTAGCGCAGTTCAAACCCTCCTGTGAGCCATGGAGCACTCTTTAGAAAAGCTGTTGAGTTTATTGTCTGTGTTTCGGGAAAAGTCCTTTTAACATAAGATATTCTTACTGGTGATAAAATAAGATTTTGAAATAAAGACATGAAACTGAGGATCGAAGCTTTGGACGTAAATACATGTGCACTTAATTTTCACCATGTTCCCTTTCTCTATGAGAAATCCTCGCTACGTTATCTAAGATGATTCCTTTATTTCTGTCAGTGTTCGCCTAGGGTGCCTATCGGACCAACGCCTGTGTGACATTCAATTATTTTCTCAGGTATTGGGAAGCTTGCGATGCTTGTGCGGTCTTTTCGTGGCTTTGCCTGTGATTGGCGGCATCTTTGTCATAATGGGCGTGGTTTTGATCGTTCTGGGAGCCAGAAAGACTGAGAAGTATGAGAGATTAATCTGAGGAATGGGTGAAGGACACATCATATTTACTATTTACATTTGCTTGTACAATCCAAATGTAACCTGATAATCACCTTTGTAAGTCTTTCTTTATTTTAAAACGATACTTTTCGTAGCTTTAAAACTTGTGGGTTCGGTTTATTGAAGGATCTAACGTGCTAATGGACTTATGAAAGTTTACAATTTGTCTAAACCTAAGATAAACAGACATCTCCAGAAAGATAAAATTAATATTTCAAGTATTTCGAGGGTTTAACTTTATAGGTATTGTGTATAAATATAATCTGATCTGAGGGTGTATGTGGAAGCGAATGTTGAAAGTCAAATTCTTTAAACTATCTAGTAATCTCAGTTTCCGCCTAAAGCTCCCATAACAGGCTTACTAATTCAAAATAGAGATCGAGGCAAACAAAAGTCAGAAAGAATCTTGATTTCTTGACTAAGTTTAACTTATTAGCAAATATTTTCTTGAGCTCCAATACATGCGGGAGCCAGGTAAGCTTGTCATCGACTGTCATTTCCAGCAGACTTGACCTGGTTATCCAATTGATCAAGAAACTTCCCAGAGTGGTGGGGGAAGAGGATCCTGGGATTTCCTGGACAGATTAGCATGGCCTCGCTTTAGCCTGGATGGGGTGGGAGTCTATTGTTTGGGCAGCACTCGTTTAGTTCGTCCAAAGCCTTTTCAGATGCGCTATTGCTTAGTTCATTTCATAGCCCGTCCTTTGAACTGTTGCTTTTTTGCTAAACTAAATAGATACGTGTCAAACACGACAAAAATTTGGTATGATTTTTAATCCATCATTCGCAAGACCGTGCCCAGCAAGCCCTCAATTCATCTGTTTGGTCAAATCTTGCTGGTTCGTGCTGAACCATATTTATCAGACATAGGATTTTACGTATTTTAATTTGATGTTTAAGTACAACAAGGAGACATCTAGCGTGAGATCACTGATCTTATGTAAGAGTAGCTTTCGGCTGGTGCTTCGACTCTCAGGGTGAAAAAATCCCCGTTAGGTACACTCAGGGGTGTAATGCATTCCTGTAGCATAGGTTGTCGTCCAAATATTTTAAAGGGTTGTGAGGGTAATATGACATAACATTTCGTGTCTTTTAATAATCTTATAACTGTCGCACTGAATTTTGTTTGCAAATTTGTGCTTGTCATCGAGGATGAACCTTCAATAAACAATGGTGCAAAGTTTATTTACAAAAGGATGAAAGTCTCTTGAACTGATGGTAGAAACAATTGTTTCAGTAAAAAAGTAAATGCCATAGAAAATACAAACGTTCTAAAGCGATTTTATGATGAAAAGTTGGAAAAGGCAGGTGGTCTCCTCTCTTTATCAAATATTGTGGAGCAAATCTAATATACAAGGTTCTTATTCCCTTACCCCGGCCAAGAGTTCGAAGCACCTTTTGAAATAAGGTTTGCTTGAGCACAGTTTCATGACAGCCATCGCGCCCTTCGTTACGCGATGGCTGTTCGTTACGTTATGGTTGTTTCACTTTTGACGAAAGAGTCGAATGCATTATGTTTCGAGCTGTCACCGTTCACATGGTGAAAAATTATTCCTTTATTTCTCACAATAAGATAAGAGAACAATATCCTTTCCTGAAACTCAACCGCAAGAACGATATTGAGACAGAACCTTTGATTCCTGTAATCTTGATTATATAATTGAAAGCTCGGAGGTTTCTGAAGGATCTCACCTAGATGCCTTATTTACAACAAGAAAATTCAAGATAAATTACTTTACTGAGATATAAAAACCAGTTAGCCTTAAAATTAGGCAAGGAAAGCTCTTAGCCTTTATCAGAAGAAGAGGAGGTTCATTTCCGCTGTAAATATTCAGTTAGAACTTATCACTTGTGATAATATGGATTCAAACATGTCTTTGGCGGGAATAGAGCTAAAAAACAAGTGTTCAATTGGTTTCTCGGCGAGACTGCGCAGCGCAGCCACGCTTAGTAGTATTTTACCAAAGCGAGCGGGTTGAGCTGGGAGTCTGGACCAAATGTAATCTGCAAGTATAAGCTGAGCTTCGTCTTGAAGTTCTTCGACTTGATCTGCTGCTTTCAGACCCTGAGTATCTGACGAGAAACACAAAATTAGAGTTCTCAAAAAATGCAATTAAGGAATATGGGAATACTAATTGCGGAAAAACTACCAATCTCAAAACTACCCCTGAGCTAAGCTGATGGCAGGGGGAGGGGGCAAAAAGCAAACAGCGGGCGGGCGAAAAATGGCGCGAATGTCGATTTGAAACAAACGAGGAGCGCTCTATCCTCTGAAATATACCAAGTATCTTTGCTCTTCCGATATTCTGCTCGTATCCATTGACTGTGCGCTTGCACAGGCTAAGATAGAACTTCTGTATGTAAGAAGAAAGCAATCCACGCGACTGGCTCTGATTTGGCGGGATGTACATGAATATTCCAGGATATAAATTTATGTCTCAGAATTCCAAATATGAATACTTCAGGTTGAAATAGAAAATCTATATATAGCTTTCTCGCCCACACTCAAATCAAGTCTGTTCCCATAATCTTCAGATGACGATGATGATTCAGATGATCTTCTCCCTGAATTGCAGCCTTCAGTGTTACATCATATGTAATTTTTTTGTACTTAGTACTGTTGAATTCTACCACGCAGCAGCTTAAAGCCCCTTGTCATAAATCCCTTTCCTGCCAATTATTCCTTTGATGGACCCGCCCACATCAAAACTTTCAACGGAAAAACCTTCAGTTAAGAACATGTATACGTTTACTGACACTCGAGGTTTTCTTTATTACTACCATTATCCGTTTGTTTGTGTTGTTTATTTTTGGTTGACTCCTTGTGCAGTAAAAAAAGTTTATTTTAAGAGAGGAGTTGATCACAGGATGCCTTGTAGAGAATTTACTTTTATCCGTCTAAATATCACTCATTCGCAAGCAAGTCATTGAGAATTTTAAACGACAGGAATATATACCCGTTATTTACCAAGCTTGTTTGCTCAAGATGGCTGGATATTGGCCGAGCTCTTTTTTTGCATTTTTATGGACCGAGACGAAGTCGAGGTCCATAAAAATGCGAGAAAACAACGAGGCTAATATCCAGCCATCTTGACCAAACAAGCTTGGCTAATATAGGATTTATTATATTGCAAAAGATTTCGCTTAATCAAGAATTAAGAATGACTTGTTCACCTCCAGAGCCGGGAAAGAAAGCCAACTGTGTTTGTAGCACAACAAACGCACGAGAGTCGTTTCTGTTTTCTTTGTTTTGACTACCTTTTGCCACTTTTTACGTTTCCATTCCCGAAATTTTCCAAGAATTACGACCTTAGTTCTAATTCTAATTTTTTTCATGCGCGAGATCAATGCGGGCAATCCCGAGCGGGAGCGCGATGTAATAATTGATATTATTCTACGGTCTAGATGAGATAGCATCCCCCCTCCCAACCCCACCACCAACAAGCTTGCGAATCGCTAACTTACTTGTCCTGAAGAGGATGACAGCCTTGAGACATGCGTATTCAGAGCTGTCCAACTTGAGTGATTTCAAAGGCGTAAGAGCCTCTTGCATGTTTTTAAATTCTTGTTCACGTCGCTGATTGCTTTCTGCCTCAATGGCACCCCCTGGTGACAGCATCCAGAAAACTGAATCCAGAAGCAACATTTCTTTCCACCCTTCTTCTAAAAGGATAACTTGGTCACGAAAAGGCAGGCGCCTGAAGCAAGGAAGTCTGCGACCAAACTTCAGTGACACCGACAGAAGACGCACAGCGGCATCTTGGAGAGGCTCAGAAGTGTGAAACGAAAGAGGTTCCACCGCCTGATGGAGTTCTGGTAGGCTTATCTGCGAAGGCTTTAAGTGCCTTTGGACGTTCCTGAAGGACACAAGAGCCGTGGAGGTCAACCGATGGCTGTTGATGGCAGCTTCTCCGTTAGGCAGCTTAGGATAGGAGGTGGTTGAACCCTGGTGTCCGTTCTGATGAATGGACGATATAGGAGGATGGAATCTTTGCGAAGAGAGTGGTGTGGAGGATAAACCAGGACGGATGTTTGTGCCACTCCCCTGTACTGTCAACGACACCCTGACAGGACTAGGGATGGGTGAACACGTTAGTGGGGTAGTGTAAGGAGAAGCACGATGGATTGGGTTGTAGTGGTTATTATTTTCCGAAGGATTTCCGTTTGGCTGCCGAGCGACTATTTCGTCGTCTCGTCTTTCGTCGTAAGATTTCGGACTGGAAGGTGCTTTTTGAATATCTTCAGTGGTATGTTGCCGTTCTTCTGTAACTTTTTGCTGTTCCGTAAGCTGCTGGTGTTGTTGATGCGGCTGCTCTTCTGTTTTGACCATCACTGTTTTTATTTGAGCAAGCCTTATTTGTGAAGTCGCAACAGGAAAACCTAAAACCAACAGGTAAGCTTTGAACGTAAAAAAGTAGGGACAAAGATACTTTGAATAAAGGTTTCGTTGCATTAGACAAGAACTAATTTGAAACCGATTTACATGATCAGATTCTGCGGTCCATTCTTCCATTTCCTGGTGCATAGTGTTTTTAAACGTAAGTCAAATCTCGCCTCTACTTAAGAGTGTGTATGCATCAAAGTTCGTAGAGGATGAAGGGGTTATCAAGAGCATGCATAACGGGGGATTCAAGTTTAAATTCAAAACTCAGTTTGAGGAAGTGACAGTTTTCATCTGCGAAAAATGCGGAAAATCAACTTGAGAAAAATTTCTTCACTCCACACCACAGAATATCATATGCATGGAGACTATTTCGTTGACAACAACGATCAAGTAACTCACCAAGAGCTTCCGGCGATGGTGACGCCTCAGTGCGCATGTCACTATGTGCATTGACTGCTGAACCATCTAAAGGAGGTGATTGAATTAGTTCTTCACTCAACCTTGAACGGCGGTACACACCTGTGAAGGACACAAGTCCTTCGTTAATAATCAAGACATAAGTTCCCAGTCGAGATATTTTAATCGTTTGTTGTAACGAGAAAAATTAGCCCCCCAGTGTGGAGTCAACCATAAAATATCACTCAAATTGCTCTGATGAAGAGCTAACTCCCCATGCTTTTCATATCGCACGTTATTATACCCCTGCGAAAACGTTTAGTTGATTAACCCCAGCGGGACCTTTTAACGGTATGAAAGTAGAAGCCTCGTGACGCTAAGGCAGAAGAGCGGGCAACCAGAATTGTACGTATTGTTCATTTTCTCATGGTGCTTCTTTCTTTTCTTGATCGTTTTCATATCTGTAACAATGTCACGTATATTCTTTGTCTTTTGTTGTAGTAGTATTTTGACTAAAAACTTAATAAACTATAGTTTAAAAATCGATCAAATCGACGTCTCTTCCAATGGGATAAGTAGATATTCAAAACACCAACTATACAAATGTTAGTTTGATAAGGAAGAAAAACATCACAGTTTAGGAAATATTATGAAGAACTGCTAATTAAGAACATAGAAAAAAGGCTGAATAACTAAAGGTCGACGAAGTTTAAAGTACTTCGGGAATGATATCTTGCTTGTACAGAAACACTGCGTAACCATCGTTTATATATTCTGCAGGTATACAAATGTGCATAACCATCGTTTATATATTCTGCAGGTATACAAATGTGCGTAACCATCATTTATATTTTCTGCAGGTATACAAATGTGCATAACCATCATTTACATATTCTGCAGGTATACAAATGTGCATAACCATCGTTTATATATTCTGCAGGTATACAAATGTGCATAACCATCATTTATATATTCTGCAGGTATACAAATGTGCATAACCATCGTTTATATATTCTGCAGGTATACAAATGTGCGTAACCATCATTTATATTTTCTGCAGGTATACAAATGTGCATAACCATCATTTACATATTCTGCAGGTATACAAATGTGCATAACCATCGTTTATATATTCTGCAGGTATACAAATGTGCGTAACCATCATTTATATATTCTGCAGGTATACAAATTTGCATAAGAAGCGTGGCGGTAAATTGAAATGCGTTGTTCAGTTATTACGCAGCAACGCTTTGTTTCTGTGGCGACATGAGGACACAAGTTCATTACGTTTATTTGATATATGTTGAGATAGAAAAATACGACTACGCTTTCATCCCTAAAAGCCTGTTTCGGGATTGCTCATTCATCAGTGAATAAATCCCTAATGAGTGAGCAATCGCGAAACAGGCTCGTAGGGATGAAAGCGTAGTCGGTGTATTTTTCTATCTCAACATATATTGCGCTCTACTTTTATGTATCGAGCACTGTAATACGGAAAATCGAAACGCAGACTTCCTATATTCAACGGTATCGGCTACTACCTCACATTTATATAGATATACACATGTGAGCTAGTAGCCGATACCGTTGAACAGTGCTCAATACACATGTGCAGAGCTTAATACAGTAGGTAGCGATCAAACAAGACGACACATTGTTTATAAAGGAGCAGATCGGTATTGTGGTCTCTAACGTGTCGGATGTCGGTGTACGGGAAATTTTGTGCAAGGTGGTTTAGAAAGTATAGGGTTCCAACCTCTTCCATAAACGGTCCTGCCCTTCAAGTATCATCTTACAATAAACTTTGTCTAAAAGCACAACATTCACTTTTGAATAGTTTGAGGGGAAACGAAAAACCGTAATTACAACATAACTCATTAAAATCGAATGGCTATCAAGACCATATCCACGACGTCTTAAAATCCCAATCCCTGCTGCAAATTGTGCTTTTATAGAATAGGAAATTTCTCGCGACGCCTTCTCTTGCGTGCTAATCTGTGACGCTCAAGAAACTGAAAGTCATCTTGAAATCGGCTCAACACAAGGCCCATAATTAAAGTATTTAATAAACGTTTCTTTTTACATTGATTTTGCTTCGATTCGAAGCCTAAAACTCCCCTCTACGTAACGAAACCGTGGGTAAAATGTGTCAATTCATTACATTAAGCTTCAAACAAGTGAAACTCCGTTTTTCCTCTTTTCTTGAAGTAAAGATAAGATGAACGTGTTCATTCTGTATCTTCTGTAGTTTCATATTTCACACTTTCCGTGCCACTTAAACAAAACTTGGGAACAGCTGTAACCAGCCTTTCACTAATGAAACCGAAAAATAAGTGAATAGCACTAATTACAAAAAAGCGAAGAGTGATTGAAGTAAACCGTGCTCTGAAGAGAGATCTGAGACATTAAGTGTGTGCATTAACACTCACTCATAATGGCAACAGTAAGGTTTGATTCAACCACAGTGAATGATTCATTGGTAAACTTATTCACTCTTCCAGCCAAAATGAGCCTGAATCTGCTAAAAACGTAATATGTAAATCTATCAAATGCCAGCGATTTAAATGAGTGGAAATTTCATAATTTGTATGAACGGAATCAATAGCCAGAAAATCACAATTAAATTCCGCTCAAAGGGAAAATTTCTCAATAGTAAACATATTTATAGCTTCGCGTAACACGCACATGAAAAGTGCACAAATCTAAGTTCCTTAACAACAATATAATTGTCTAGGACTATTTAAGCGAAAACAGGTACAGCACTTTTTTCATTCGGTATTTGGCAAAGATAGCAGCTGTCTCGATCGAAAAAGGTTTCTGAGCAAGCTATTCGAGGTAGAGGGGTTATCTTCAACTTTGGGTCGTTAGTCACTCAAAAAAAGTGGCATTCGCGACATCACATTTTGATATTTTTAATCCTTCTCTACGAATTTCAGAGACTCGGGTAAAACTCTGTTACCTCTGATAACCTTCACTCGATTCCCAATCTCAAGTCAGTAACGAAAACTACTGAGCTTTTAGAGACGTCTCAAAGCGAGGCATTTGGCAATGGAAAATGAAAGATGACAGGCACTAGGAGAGGGGAGACGAACATAATCTGCCCAAACGTTTGGTGGAATTATAAATATACTCATTGCAAATGTCGTTTGATCAAACAACACACCATTCGTCTCTCTGCAAACGGACAATAAATTACTCTTAACTCACCGTCTAAATTCATGCCAATCTCGACACATTTCTTGAGCCGACAAGCTTTACAGTCATTGCGACTGCTCTTATCCACCGGACAATGTCCCTGGCCCTTGCACAGCCAGGGCTCCGCTCGTCGGGACGTTCTCTTGTAGAAGCCACTGCACCCATCGCACGAGTACACTCCATAATGTTTCCCAGTGGAACGATCACCGCACACTTCACAAGCTGGAAAAAAAATGAATTAAATGATAGAATAAGGAGGATGGCGAAGTTTTTTGCTCGGTTTGTAGAATAGAGTAAGATTGTTATTCGCCTTGTGAAACAAAGAACCAATTAATATTCTGAGTCCTTATGGGCAATAAAATCTAGAAATAGCCTGGCTCATCGTAGAATCTCTGTGGCTTAATGGTAGAAGATCAGGGCAAGTAAGGCAAAGGTTTGAGGTTCAATTCCTCCCGAGGACTGAGAAACTTTTCCTTGTCCCACGCTGGAGACAACACAAAAAACTTCTTCCCTAATTAACACGAGGAGACTTTCGAATGCAAGAAGAGAATCAAAATTTCAGGATGAAAGGACAGTTAGGCAAGCGTGTAGGGAAACTATGACGACGCATCGATTATTGGTAAAATAAAAGGAAACTTTGAATAGTTGCCTTATGTTTAGGAGCCTTTTGCAGCGAATAGACTTCGTGAAGAAGAAAACCAAGAACGAAATGTCCGCTTTAGTGGATAAGCAGTTAGGACGCAAATATGAATGGAATCGGCAAAAGGGTAATATGAAAACGAAACTTTTAGAGAGTTACCTTACGTTTTGAATCGTTCTTCTGCGAATTAGAAAACAGACTTTATAAAGAGGGCAACCAAGAAAAATTTTCTACTTTAGAGGTAAAAGGAAGTGACGAGGATGTTACAGGATAAAAAATATTAAAAAGCTGTATGTAAATAAAACTTGAATACGAGCTTGGTCATAGGACGATACTACCGTATGCGGTGTCGATGCACAAATCTATGATTATTGTGACCTTCTTCTAGTCAAAGCGGGACAAAAAATAAAATCAAAAAAATTTCCCAGCTGGACTTATCAGAAGTAAAGAGCTTTAAAATACAGCTTATTAGACAGTATAAGCGGAAAATATAAAATAACCTTCATATTACCATACCTTCCCACGTAAAATTAAACCAACGCGAAAACTCTCGATCTCCGAAGTGCAAGAAAGAACCTCTTTCTCTTGACATCTTGGTTTAAGATAACAGCATGATAACTGATCATCTGATCATGAAATGAGTTGTTTATGCACGAGAACTACAGTAATGTACCATTAAGATCCTGCGTAAAACCTTGCTCTGCCCGCACCTGAAGTGCTGTACTTTTAGAAACAGCTATTTGACAGCCTTATCACGAAACACACTTAAACAAGTTTCGGGTGACATTCCCAAGAGAGTGACCATCTTGTCGATAAAGGAAAAGCTTTTACAGAGTTTAAGTATCAAGGCGTGTTTTTGTCTCTAACAATAATGAAAGGTTGTTCCCGTATCTCCTTGCAGGATGCACGCATACTTCTTACATTTTAGAAGGTAACACAAACTTTCAATAAGAGAAAGTAACAACTACAGTGTCGCAAAACAGCTAAAAGCAGAATTGAATTTGTCAAGCGCCATTCAGCCGTTTTCTAATGCAAGTGATATATTTCAAATCGCTAGTGAGAACGACGTTTTACTATTTTTCACATATACCTAAAAATTGAAGCATACGGGCGTAAACTGAAAAACGATCAAATATCGCTCCAAACATGAGGAGGAGGAAAAAATGGTGCGGAGCAAAGTTTCATTATCAATATTGAAAAAACCAAGGGACATTCTCACAAGAAACGTTCCAAAGACACATGATCTCGATTTAGGATGATAATTGGACACAAAGAGAGACAAAAATTAAATTGGTGAGAAACATTTTGCACCAAATAGAATGTAAATTTTCTTAAAAAGCAGTCGTGGAAAAATGCAGCAATCTTGAGAAAACAGAAAAGGCCAGAGCCACTCGGTCAGGCAAACATCCAGTGACTCGGTTAGCTGGCTACTCTTTCATTCAGTCAATCATCCATTCACGAGGTTTGTCAGCCAGAAACACACTCAGTCACTTAAACAGGCCTTCCGTCAGTAAGCCAGTCCTTCCATCAGTCAGTCAGTCAGTCACACAGTCGTTTAGTCAGTCAGTCAGTTGGTTAGATAGTCAGTTGGTTAGACAGTCATTTAGTCAGTTGGTCTGTTGGTCAGTCAGTCAGTTGGTCAAACAGACATTTAGACAGTCAGTCTGTTGGTCAGTCAGTCAGTAAATCAGTTGGTCAAACAGTCATTTAGTCATTCGAATTCAGTCTGTTGGTCAGTCAGTCAGTTATTTAGTCAGTCAGTCAGTTGGTCAAACAGTCATTTAGTCATTCGAATTCAGTCTGTTGGTCAGTCAGTCAGTTATTTAGTCAGTCAGTCAGTTGGTCAAACAGTCATTTAGTCATTCGAATTCAGTCTATTGGTCAGTCAGTCAGTTATTTAGTCAGTCAGTCAGTTGGTCAATTATTCAACCCTTTGACTGGTTAGTCGGTCAGTAACTTATTCCGTTATTGTATCAGTAAGCCTGCATGGGTCAATCTTCCTGTCTCTTCCAATCAGTTCGTCCGCCCGTCCGTCAGTGAGTCATTCTGTCGGGATGGTATTTAAAAATGAAGTGAATAAATAGATAAGTAAACGAACAAATTAATAGATAAATAAATCAGGGATGGTCGCTGATGAGAGTGATTCAATGCGGTGTCTAAAGGCATAAGCTGAATGTACATTTAAACAGCAATTAATTCTCATGCAGTACTGCAGTAACAAAAGCTTGTTCGATCTGAATTTGAAATAGAAATCTTCAACGTCTCCAGTACTTGAAGTAGCGATGAAATTTAGTCTACCACTTCTAGTGTTTTATAGTTGCTATTTTTTCCTCAGTCAATGAAATGCAACGCTCATGCGTAATGATTTGGCACCTAATGTACTGTAAGCAAGGCATGGCGTTGCAGACAAAATCAAAGTTAAAAAGGGTTTGGCGTATCCTTAGATAAAACTTAATTTGTGGACGGTGATTATCCCGTTCCCCAAATCCATTTCTTATCAAGGTGCATAGAGAATGTTAAAAAATACTTCATTACTCAAAGATAGTAGCGAATAGAGACTTTTCACCAATCTCATAAGTTTCTGGAAACGCCTTCAATGTAACAAAAGAACATCACTGAATTTGCACTGCATAATCTTTACAACATTTAGCACACTAGATCGTTACCTATGAACTTTGAAACTCTGGGCCGAGGTATTCAAAGGTGGTTTAAGATAACCCACAGTTAGAGTGAAATATGATATCAGATCTTAAAGCTTTAGAAGAAAATTCAGTTTAATTCTATTTGTCTACAATTTGATGATTCAATGTTCTTAAAAGAATTAGAAAAATTATCCCAAAACGGCTTTTCAACCGAGAAAGATAGAAACCTGTGTTAAAATTAAACCCTGGGTTAGCGCTAGTCGTCCTTCGAACAACTGGACCCTGGATTGTAAGTTGTTTGAAAGCACAAGTTTTGGACCGGCACAGGAACTATCTATCCCTCACTGGAATAGCATAAACATCTCAGCCACTCACCTAGTGTATGGTTTTATCCATGATATGGTTTGAAAAAAAATAGAAGTTGTTTTCTAAAGTCTGTTCTCTTTTACAGTGCCAAAGATTCTTAATTTGCCCCAGGAATGTAACATCTGTATTTTTCATGTTCATCGCGGGTTCTGATGTTTTTGGTCAATGAAGTACTCGCGGCTTCACCTGTAAAAATTTCTCAGTCTTCTTTCCATTGGTGGAAGGTCGCGAATGCCGGAAATAGTGGGCATAAACAGCAATGCTAAAAGAACTTTGAATTGTATTTCCCACAAATTTCAGAAATAGTGAGCATAAACAGCAGCGCTGAAACCAGAAAGTCTTTCTTATCTCTTTCCGCTCCGCGAAAAGACATTTGGGTAATTTTTAACACCCCTTATAGTTGAATTAGTCAATTTTTACCTTTACTCTTGATGCTATTTTCGAATTCGTCCCTTTTTTGTTGTTGACGAAAGTGTTTATTCTCGCAACTACAGCTATTATTTTGAATTCTAAATAAGGGACCACGATAAAAACATCAGCGACAACAACAGTACAAAAATAGGAAACTCCAGTCTTGAAATCATGTCCAAAGTTCCAAACATATTCATAAATATTTTCCAAAAATTAAGGAGTCTGTTTGTGAACATATTGCTGCTGTTTTCAATAAGTTATCAGGGTCTGCAGCCTTTTACTACGCCGAAAAAAAAGTGAGTTTGCCTCACTAATGATGGATACAATGAGCCAGTTTTACCCAAAGTCTTACCATGTGCCTTGGTAACTAGAAAGATAAATAAAGCAGTTAAACGAAAATATTACCATTCGAACCTAAAGAACTTTGTGTTGAGCACTTATTCTACACTACTGTTTATCTCTATAAGATAAAAGGTACCTTTTTGCGCCTGAAGAGGTGTCACTTAAACCACAAAAAATTGCTGGCAGAAAAGGATATTTAAGCCTCTTTGCCAAAGAAATAATTAGGATATATCAACAAAGTTGAAATGGTA